TAAAAGGTGAGGAGTGGAGTAATGTTTGATGATACCTTGTTTACCATGACCCATAGATATGAATTTTAGCTTCGATGCGAAGCTGAGAAGGTATTAGTTTTACTATGATGTGTTTTTTTGTGTCTGTTACCACTTTTTTACAGCTCTCACAGAACCGATTTCTTTCAATGATACGTCAAAAGATCACAAATCGTATCTAGTCGAAGACATTACCCTCAAAAATTGAAAAAAATTCCCTCGTTCCCCCTAAATGGGGGAAACCTCCAAAAAAATTACAAATTTAAAAATCGCTAATTTTCGAAATTTTTTCAATTTTTTTTACTTAAAACTGCCATAACTTTTTCAAAAATGGACAAATCAATATAATTCTTTTTTATATAGATGCATGATATCATTACCTTTTATTTGGTATATTTTTTTTTTATATGTGACCCTTTAATTGCCCACAGGGGGGGATTTAAAATGACAACTTTTACACAAAAAATTAATTTTTTCAACTTGATTTTTGAAAATGTCGGACTTTATTTTGTCTTCACGGTGAAAATGGTTACCGAATACTATTTTTGTGTGAACATTTTCGATTTTGTATTTTACATTTTTAATTTTATTATGCTATAACTAATTGAAAAGTGTATGGATCAACATAATTTTTTTTTGAGAAATAATATTTTTTAATATTCCCTTTTTCATTTGACATACTTTATCTTAATCATGATATTAGTAAGGAAATAGCAGATCATGTAGCTTTTGGAATAATCCACTAATTTTTTTTAATTTAAAATATTGAAGAACACTAATTTTTAAAATTAAAAACTATCTAAAGATTTGTATCGAAACGTTTTTTTTTGATAGTGATTTTAATCACTGTCAGATATCATTATACTTGATCCAATTATGCCACACACCACTATGCCGCGACCCCTCTGTGCTGGGTTTTTTTTTATGTTGCCTACCCTTTTCCAGAGCTGGTTAAGATTTTGAGGTACTGAGGCAGGACTTTGAGATGGACTCCTATGGAAAATATCATTATAAAAAAAAGTAATAAATTAGTTAAATTATATTCGAGATGAACCCTTAATTCGCCCCTTAATCCCTCTTTTTATAATTAGAAATTATATAAATACAAAAAAAATTACTCAAAATTGGTTATTGATCAGTCAAAATGTTATTTAGTCTATTCTCCATTTAATGTTATAAAATTAATTATAGGGGTATCTATAATAACCATTAATAATCTATAATGATAATTACTATTATTACTTATAATGAACATATAAAGAATTACCCCTAAAATCTAATTTAAAATAAATTTTTTCTTACAATAGAATTGATATTTATTATGTTCTATAAAAATAAATAAAAATTTATTCAATACAATTTTATGAAAAATTATTATTTAACGAAAAAATTGGGATTGGGGTAATATTTTTAATAAAATACTCTAACTACTATTATAAGAAGAATGATAATAATTAATTATAAGTGAGTTGATTTTTTCTTACAGTTAGAAAATAATACGTCACATTTCATATTCCCATGATTTGTTTATTAATTTTTACCGTAAAGTTTATTTATTGTAAACAATAAAAATTGTTTAATGTAAAAATATATTTTTTAATTGCGAAATCCATTGGTTCATTTTTCAGTATATTTATTTAACTGATTATAAAATTTGAATTGAAAATACTTTATGAATTACTGAAATACAATAGATTTCTTTTAATTTTTAACAAACACATGTAATATTAATCTATTACGAAATAGTAATATATAAGTTCGTATCAATTTATTATATTTACAATATGATTAATGTTTATTAAAGAGGACAATAGACATTTATTTATAAAATTATAGTACATTTTATATATTTAATTCTACAAATTTAAAACCCAGGGTATTTTACAATAAAAATTAGTTATAATTTTAATTTTTAGAATTTAGTTATTTAATCATTTTGAAGTAGGAATGAAAAAAACCAGCAATATTTAAATTAAGTTCATAATTACAATTTGGAGGGCTTAGCTGTTCAAATTTTGATACATTCTCCTAAAATTATGTATTGCTATGTAAGAATAATTTTTGAAAGGGAAAGATATTAAATAAGATACCTCAAAAGATTTTTGTTTAAATGGCGCATAGGTTAATTTGAGAACTGAAATATTCGCCTAGTTCAAAATATATATGTTATTAAAAGAAAAGAATATTTAAATTCTTTGTAAGAAAAGCCAAACATTTATGTTTACTAAAATTAAAATTTATAATATTATTATGAATTATACAAAAACTATCAAAACAAGTATAAATAGTAATAAATATATTTAGGTCCGATTAGAAAATTTTTTAACTATCAAAATTTTATATTTTTACCGGCCCGTATCAGGATCAGAAACGTTCAATTCGGAACTATAATAAAATGAGATTTTACAATACAATCCCCGTTACAAATATAAATATATTTTGAATTTGTATGAAAATTTATTATTTTCAATTAAATCTAACCTAAAAAGTAATTAAGATAAACAAAAAAAAAAAATCTTCAACAATACATTGTATTGTTTACACTGTTGTAAAAATTTTTAAATATTTTGTTTTTAACAATGTTTTTATAAAATTTTGAGTTAATTTTTTTTATTAATAATTTTAATAATATAATAATTGTATTATAATTAATTAATTATGAAATAATAATTATTATTAGTACGGATAAAATTCTAGTTTGAAATTCGGTCGAAAATTGTAGTTAATATAGCGACAAATACAATTATATAGTTGGGGTAATGATTAAACTCATATTGTTGCAGACTGTAACTTTCAATTTCGGAACCAGAGGATGCAATGACACTCCAAAATAAATACAATATCATAATTTATTTACTAATTAGAGAAGCATATCATATAAATATATATATCGTTCATAACATTTTCCTGACCAATACAAATCTCGTATTAAAAAAAAAAAATGCTGCCAATATACTAAATGTACTGGAGCATTAGTGTGATGCAAATTAAAATTACTTTTTCAAATTATCAAAGTATTATAATTATCTTTTTGTGGCATCTCGTAAATGGTGAAAAATATTTATAAAGTAATGCTTTGTTATTATATTTCCTTTTAAAGACAATCTCTTGATCTAATCAGTTTATTAAGTAGTAGAAAATATTATTGTCTAAAAATATACTACTATTTAATAATATCAAATTTTATTTCTAAAATATTATTAAATAAAATATAATTTTATATCAGGATACTAGAAGAAAAGGTATAGCGTTCCTCAAAAAGTTTGACCCTTATTATGAATAGTTTTGTGTAATTCATTTAAAGTTGTTTACAGTTTTTGTTATATTTAAATGTGTAAAACAAATATTAAAGTACACTACTATTAATTTCTTTGACGTCAAAATAATATTTATGAGGTCAATTGAAAAAATGTGATTTAGTCATTTATTACATAAAAGATTAGTTTCTACAAAATGATAAACTATCTGTATTAATCTGTTTATGGTTTTGCATATATATGTATGTGAACATTAAATATTTATCGACAACACTTAAAAATTTTTAATATTTCACGGTGGTCTTACATGTGAAAAATGTTTTTGATAATGTAAAGATGTCAATGTTATGTGATATTTTTTTAAACTACGGCTTTACATAATAATATGACTGTTAGTTGTTATATACTATAAAATTTTAAAATGGACACTTTAACATTTAATATAAGAATCCAACAAATATAGAATATCTAACAACTCAGTCTAAATTCATCCTACATTAACATAAAATCGCTCAAAACAAAACAAGAGAAACTGAATTATTTAATAATGTATACACCTATATAATTTATATATTAATTCTATTTCAAATATTATATGTCATAATATATAATTCGTCTTAATTAAACCTATGAATGTTTTTAGTTTATGATTACAATAATCATATTCGTATATAATTATATATAAAGAAATTTTAGAGAGGGGAAGATATAATAAGACTATCAAAAAAGTTTGTTGAAATTGCACCTATGATTTTAGTTAGTGTTATCTTTTGATAAAAAATAAAACGATATCCAGAAAAATAATTATTTCACTTAAAATCTGTTGAAATTAAATAAATAAATATACATATAATATAATTGTAAAATATCTGAAAAATAATCTCCAGTAGTTAGAATAAACTTACATTTTTTTTTTTATTAGAAACCACAGCGATTTAGTCTATTGGTTTTAGATTAGATTAATTGCAATAATATATTTTAAAATATTAACATAAAACTTATAATACATTACGAATGACAAATAAGTTAAAAACAGTACATTAAAAGCAAATAATTTTTTGTATGAAATCAAAGAGTTTGTTTTTGAAGAGGAATTTTATTAGTTTTTCTGTTATTTCTGAGTTAGGATCAAATCAAGTAATCTTTTTCTATTTGGCGCTGTATATCTGTGTATTTTCATATTTGTTGAAAATATATTTAATCGTTAGAAATTAAAATTTTATTACACTTCAAAAACATTTCTAGAATTATGATTGTTTTACTTTTAATTAAAACTAGAAAGAAAGACAAAATTTTTATGCATCTAAGGACACAAACATATCGAATGCGTTGCTATATTTAAATAATCTTACATCTGGTGAGCATGTGTGATTGTGTTCTTTATTTTTAACAGGAAATTAAGATGGCCTCTATTTTTTCATTTTATAACACTAGCCTAATAAAATAGAAAGTATTGAAAAATAAATTTAGTTATGACTTAATGTCTTGTACACGAGATATTTTACAAGATATATTTTAATTAAAATTTTAAAATTAAGAAAATGTTACAATTATTAATAATGTTACCATCTGTTTGAAATATCAAATTATTTTATCAACTATTTGGTTACACTGTTAACATTATCACTTCTACAGACCCCACTTTTTTATTTTTAGTTGTTTTTACTATTATAATGTATTGTCATATATTTGTCGCAAATTACTCTTACGTTCAATTTGCAATCACTAATCAGAATTTTTGAAATATAATTGATATGTGTGATCTTTTGCTACGTATTACATTGCGATTACATTTTGATTTCTAAAATTTATCTAAAAAACCGTTTATTTTTGTATATTTTTAAACTGTGACACTTATTAAAAAATAAAAAGTTCGGATTAATAAATTGATTATTACATTTTTTTTCAACTACGTGGAGTTTTTAATTAAAATAGTTTTTATGAATTCGCTTCGATATGTCTGCCGAAGAAGAAGATAAAGACACTTTAAATAATACTGATAATACTGTGGAGGATCATTCTAATAATGACAACCATAATGACACCTTTCCAAACAGTAGTGCTTCTATACCTAATGGAAATGAGAATTCTCCACCGTGTCAATTAGATATTGGCTTAGGCACACATACCGATAACAAGCGCAATGAAAATAGTTTAAATTGTGAGTCATAACTTCTTAATGAAACATTTTTTTTAGAAATAACTCATTTTGATTTGCCTGGTTTTGTTGTAAAAATAATCAATTAATTTGTGTTGATTATTACTATTAGAAATTCTCCTTACTATTACTATAATAAATTATTATTTTTAATAATGAATATTTATTCATTTTTCATAGTTCATTATTTAAGTGTTTTTTAATAACTTGTTTAAATATGGCGTAAGCACAAATCAGGGGATGCTTTGGATATACCACTCTCTTAAAGTTGTTAAAATTATTTTTAAAAAGAAAAATGCCACTTAGTACCTTTAAAATATTTGCTATTTGTGCCTATGTTATAGGATCCTATAGTTTTAATACTATGTAATTTACATATCTTTGATTTATTAAAGATTAACTAGAAAATTTTCTAATTTTGAGTTGGGATTATAATATGTGTCTCTATATGATTATGGCTTAATCTAACCTTTAATAAATTTATTTTATGTCGTGACAATGATATTTTAAGTTAGGATAAGAAGTCTTCATAAAATACATGAACATTCCAAATTTATATCACTATACTTCTAAAGATTTAAATTATAAATTTTAATGTAAATTTCTTAATTTATTTAAAATAAATTTGGATCTATTGATAAAAATCTATGACCAAATTTATCATTATCATATAATTGATATAATATACATTCAAATTTTGTACAATGTATCTGAACTTGATTTGACAGAATATCAATTTTTTGTCTACTTAATATGTTTTGTTTTTTTCTTTTTATAAAATTTGTTAAAGTATATGACTAATTATAAAATAATTTTTTTTTTTAATTAATAGAAGTGTTAAAAAAAATAGCCATTTTATAAGGTAGTTTATAAGAAATAATAATATTTATTTTAAAATGTTATTTATTATACTCCTATACTATACAAGTTTTCCAAAAAACATATATCTAGTGATTCAAAAGGTGTAGCATTTATTAGAAAAAGCTGAAACACTTGGAAAATCAAAAAAACAAATTTTTTTTTTTTTTGGTAAATGGAACTTTTTAAATATATGTGTAACATAACTATCTATAAAAATAATATTGATACCGCTAAACACAGTAAAAATTTTCCAATAATATTGATAATTTGATTAAGCCATTTTCTCACAAAAATTGTGTAATATTTATAATGTATTGTTGCAAAAACTATGTGGTAAAAAATTGAGTAATAGAAGCAATCTAATAAAGAATTAAATTAAACTGTTAAACTTTAAGATATTTTGTATTTTTTAATCATTATTAGTTTTAGAAATGAGATTAATTAATTCTAAAAAAATATATTTTTATAATATAAAAATTAATATTTTGTAATTAAATCATTACATTTTTTTAGTATACATAGTAAAATTATTTTAGTAAACTTGGAATTTTTTTTCAAAATTTTAATTGAATTTTTTAGTGGATGCAGCCACAGGAGAATCTACTGCTTGCAGTTCTAAGCGAGAAGATAACCCTCTTTCATTCAGACATTTTTTGTGTAACAATAGCTCTAATCAAACTTCTAAACCCAAAGTAGAAGTTGTACCAAGTATATCTCAACCAGTGCGACCTATATCAGAAACATCTACTCTCCCTGATTTCGTTCAAGATCACTTGGCTGCAGATCAAACATATGATAATGGGGATCTTGACTCAAGAACTAATAATATAGATCTAACTCGAGGAATTCATCGTCCATCAATGTTTGGAAATCGTAGTAATCGAACCCCTCAACAATGTGTAGTTATGCCATTAGATTTGCCATTTTCTAACACATCAGCACAACAACCAAGAGCTACTACACCAACTACAATCAATAGTTTACCAGATTTTTTATCTGATGGGCCAATTGGAGTTCCAGTTGTTCACCCAGTCACCCGAAGTGAACAACAAACGGATAGAAACCGTATCAGCATCACTATCAATCCACAACGTGGTACTCAACCTCCAAATCAGAATTATACTAGGTTTCAAAGGTTTTTTTTATCATTTAAAATGCTTGTATAACAATAAAAATTGATCAATTTTTAATTAACTATATGTATGTAAAATATGTGAAAAAGTAGAGAAAAAAAAAGCCATTGTAATAGAGTATGCCTGCAATGTATAAAAACCCACAAATTTTGAGTAAGGTATTTTTTTTTAAATTTTATTACTTACATAAACTGGGCATTATACTAAAAGGCTCCTTTATTGTTTAGAGTACTAAAACTTATGCAGGAAATGTCAATTTTAGACTAACAGATATCATATTTATTGAAACATCTTTATGGCACTGTTTGTTGGTGCTAATGATGTACCTATCTAATATTAAATTAAAAAAGATTATTTTTAGATTTAACACTCGGGCTATAAATGCTGTACACAAGAATATATAAAAGTAGGAAGAGTTGAACTTTATGCCATTCTAATTGCTTATCTTATGGATTTTATGAATATAATATATTTAAAATAATTTACTTATTAATCAAAATGTAAAAATATTATTTATCAAAATTTATTTTGGTTTTTGTATACAATGCCTAGCTTTCCTTTTAGCCTGTCGCATACATATATATATAAATATAAACACTCTGAAATGGTTCTGAGTTAGAGGTATTCTATATTGGTTTAAAGTTATTTCCTATTTAAGTTCATATAAATAAATAATATTTTAATAAATGATTCACAATTATTATACATTAAAATAAACGATTTTCAATATTTTATAAAAATATACTAATATAAGATGCAAATTAAAAAAAAGTATCATATGTACCATAAATATATTATATCATATATAAAGTATTAAAGATTTAAATGATCATACATATGGTTATAGAAAAATATTATCTATTAAATAAAGATTTATTCACTAATGCAAAATTGTGTTATGAATAATTAGGCACAGTCAAGCAGTTGAGGCTAGAGTTGCTAGGTTAGAAGCAACAGAACAAGATTTAAGAACAACAGTTTTAAATTTAAACAACATGCTTCAACAAGCTTTAGTATGTCAAAAACTCGTATGTTTTCCTTTTATACATGGTGTTACACATTATTTTTTGTAGATGAGAGCTCAAAGAGCTGAAGACGAAGTAAGAAATTTAAGAGCTTTGTTACGGGTTAGAGAACAAGGTTTGAATTCAAGCAATTTAGCTACTATCCCATCAAACACTTCAGTGGCTGAACAGATACGTCATGGTACACGTAATACTGAAGTATTGCTCAAGTAAATTTAATTCATTATAATTTTTTAGTAAAATGTATTATTATTTGGTAAAATAATACTAATTGTATTTTATTTTAAGCTTATTAAGAGATAATTGCCAAGAATTAAATAATGTGGCAATTCGACTTGAGCAACAAGAAAATTCATCAACATCTAATAACCAGCTTTTAGCTGATCCTAGTGATTCAGCAGATGATAATATAACATAACACTGCTCTCCTTTAATAGGTTACAGCTACTCATATGTATATGATAGAATACAATTCTAAAATGTACCAGAGTATTTTTCTCTGTACAGGATCTGTGCAAATATATTGCCAAGACTGGACCTCAATTGTTTTTGTTTTTGTGTAATTTTGATTATTATTATTTTATTAGTATTTTTATTGCCATTCAATGCTTAAGATTTTATTTTCGTTATCAAATCTAATTTAATTGATAGTTGTATGTAAATAGAAATTTATATAATTATAAATAAAAAAGATATATTCTTATGAAATGTCCTTGCATAAATTTGGCAATGTATAAATTAATCCTTCAGTGAAGTTTATATAGAGGAAGGGAGGAGCAAAAAGCACCTCCTTGAATTATCTCCAAATAATGATCAAATAATAAAACCAAGAAACGATTTTTTTGAATAATAAAATGGCCAAAAAATTATATTTCTGGCAACTAAACATTTGTGCTATCCATTGGCAAAATTTTTATCCACTCTGGAAGTATTGTTTTAAACTAAGTAATCATGTTTGTATTATATTTTATGTAGAAATAGGTGATTTTATTATGTGGGATATTCTGAAATAAAATATTCAAGTTAACTATTTAATGATATAAATCAATATATATTCTTATAACATTGATTAATTTTTCACAAAAGTGAAATTAGTAAATGATTTGGTTTTAGGAAATTTGTTTTTAGGAAAATGCAGCTTAAATTTTCATTTTTTAAATTATAAAATTTTCTTGATTTTTTAATAAAAGTGATTAATTTTCTCAGTACAGCTCCAATAAAATTAAACTTTCTAAAAACTATATTATAAATATATTTTAATAGGGTTATTAAAAAAAAAAATTCCTTAGGAAAAAGGCTCATCTTATATTTATTTATCCAGAGAATTCCCCATTTTATTTCAAGTGAATTGTAATATCATGGTAACTTTATAAAAGTGAATACTACATGGCCATATTTATTTACTAATCAATGATTCAACCAAATTTGTTTTTAAAGGACTGAAATACTAAATTTATTTAGATTTTGATAATAGTCATTGTAGACTTGATTAACATGTGTATGTTAAAAAAAAAAATTCAGTATTGTAAGTAGAAATTTATTACTACTTATAATAAACTTATTTTTACTTTATAAGCCACAACAATTTGTCTAATTTTGATAGATATTTTGCATTATATTAATTATTTCCTATATATTTAAAGATTTAACTTTAAAATGGAAAAAAAAATCCCAAAACTAATGTTCTTCTTGATTTTGACTAGTAATTTTCTTTATTGGATAAATTTTTGACTTCTAAGCTAGATCAATATGTATGTTGCTATTTAAAAAAAATTTAAATGGTATCTTGGGAAGGAATTAAGAATGAATCAAAAAAAGGCAGAAAAATTTTTTTTCAATAATTATTTTAAGATAAATTGAGTGAATAACATTAAAAGAATTACCCTGTATACATAGGATATATATTTTTTTAAGAAAATATTTTATTAATACATAATATTTAAATTCTTTAATTGATACAATTACAACATTGTATCAACTAGTAATATATTTAGACTATAATTACTTTTTTATATAAGGACAGGTTATAAATATTTTATTAGTAACATAAGTATGGTTGATTATTTGTATGATATACTATTGATTTGTTAAGAATAAGAAAATATTGGGTTAAAATTCCAAAATCTCTTGTTAAATGAATTATATAAAATTAATAAATTAAGTCTTAGCTTTTTAATAATCTTCATCGGAGTCATCAAGAGCAGCTCTTCTTCTATCAAACTGAAAAAAAGTTTTTCTATTAAGTTCAATGATAATTTAATTATATATTAATCATACTTTAACAGTGGTTTTACGTTCTTGAGATTGCATTTGATTATTAACTTGTTCTAATAACCCTATTAGTTCATCTTCTCCTAATTTGTTAACAATTTGCCCTGATTGTGCCATTCTTAGTAACATATTTTCTACCATTCTCCCTTTTTCTGGTTTACCAATCATTAGTGTGTTTACTACATGAATAAAATATAAAATGTATAAATAATAATTTGTGACAACTATATTATAAAGTATTAATACGTCTTGCTCGAGCAGCTTGATTTAGCACTTGTGTAAGAATTGAATGTTTCATATCTTCAACTGCTTGACGTTGTTGTTCAGCTTGTTTTTGTTTTTCTGCAGCATTTCCACTTTGTGGCTATATTAAGAAGTATATTACATTAAATATTAAATAAATCCAGAAAAAAAGTTTAAGATAATATTAAATCTTACTCCTAGTTCAGATTCCATTTGAGCCATTCTTTGAGCTCGTAGAGTTTCTAGTTCGGAATCTCCCATTTCTTATTCAGATAATTTATAATTTAACTTGCTAAAATGTAGAAGCTAATGTAATTTTTATAATATTTACTCCTACACACAAGTGAGTATTTATTTCTACCGACAGATTATCGTATGAATAATAGATGTTAACAGACCTTCCAATATCATTTGCACAAAAATTTAATTAAAAAATTCCTAAGATTGTATATTGATGATGCGGTTAATGTCTCAGTTTTTATTCACAATACTGTAAATTTTATGAAAAAAATAACCCTCTATCAATAAACATGAGGAATAACAGTAAGATAACATTATCAATAAATAAACAGTGTTGTTACTACTTCGGCTTTCTTATCACATAACACCATAAATACGAAAAAACGTCGAGTAACAAGTTTAAATATATATATAAGAATGCTGATCAATGTTCCATTTTTTTATACTTTCCATCGACATCCTTCTCTCCGCAACGGACTACCACCCGTTATGGACTATCAATTGTTAAGAAACCTCCTTCTCTGGGGAGGCCGCTATGTCCCGTAATGAGCTTAAAAAGCGATAAAAACAAGTTATCTTACACAAATTTAAAATATTAATTAAAAACTAAAAATTATATAGTTAAAAAATACTAAAAATTCCTGTCTACGTATTTCAGGAATAATATTAATATTATCAGTGCTAAACACAATATTTTGTTTTTAAATATATCAATGGTTAAGAATTACATATTTAAATCTGGGCGTTAAAAAATTAAAACGTTAATATTGTTTAATGAAAACTTAATTTAGTTAGGTAATTCCTTATTTTTGAAAGAATGTAATTTATAACTTAACTAGTGATTTTTTTTACCCAAATAACATATAAAAATAAAGTTAAATTATTTTTTGGTTACTCTTAACTAAACTAAGTTAAAAAATATACACTAATTAATTTGTACCTTAATGCAGTATATCCAAAATTAACTTAACTAGTTAATACATTGGTATGATTTATGTATAAAATATTATGATCACATTATAGGCAATTAAAATAATAATGTTTATATCGATATAAGATTCGGCCTCTTCTATATTTTGAATATAATCCCAATTTATAAAAGAATGAAATAAATACTATCTATTTACACAAAACCAATCAAAGTGTTTACATGATAATGATTTTAATCACTTGAAAATTTTCAATCTATATTGTTTTCAACTATAATGTGTTCTAACTGTACTGGTTTCTTTTTTAATAGTAAATTTTGATCATCCGTCTTATATTAAAAACTATTTATCAAACTAAAATGATGGTTAAACTATAAATACTGTTAGCATTTATAGATACTAATCATGTTTTAATGTTTATTTTCATAACAAGGTTGTAGCTCTTTAACATTCTTCTTTTTCACTAATTTCTTTCAAACATAATTAAATTCAATTAAATTCATGCTGTAGTACATTTTGATATTTATTTAGTGCATAATATATTATCATTTGAACTTTGGCCTGTAGGAAGCCCATCAAAAAGACTGCACGTTGACGACTTTAACAATTGTTTCAGTCTGGGTTATATTGCTTAATAATTTGAATAAATTGTACTATTGTCAATCTTGTATTTTAGCAGTAAAATTTTTTGATTTTGACATGAAGCACATACGCACCAAATTAAAAGGTATTTTTTACAAATTTTTTTTATTGAACTATTACTATAAATATATTTTTCAACTTATTGATTGTTTTTTTCTATAATTTATTCAATTAAATAATATTTACATTTCATTAAAATGTTTTTATCATCTCTTTCTATTCTCGTTTATAATAATGCAGACAGTAGAATATTGTAATGAAAGTAAAAATAAATTATTGAAGTAATAATTTAAAAAATATTTTTGTTAGTGTAACAAAAAATGTAATTATTTTTTAATAGGATAAAAATAAAAAAATTAATTAACGCTAGTAAAGAAAGTAGTATTTTATTTTTCTAATAACTACTTAACTTTATTATAAAAAAAAAAATTTTTAAATGCAAATTTGAATTGTATTTTTATCATTTTTACATATTTTAATAAAAGACCTTAAAGTTTCTCTATCAGAAACTTTTTTTAGGTATGTACATAATGAAGCTCATGCCTTAAAATTTTAGAATATATTTTTAAAACATCGAGTATTCTAATATTTTAGTGAAGAAGGATATATGTTCTAAAAATTTATTTTATTGTATTAAAATAATGAGGATTTAGTAACGCATCTTTAGAGCTAGTAAAATTTGCCGTATCCAACTTGAAGCCGAGTTATTAAGGATTTGGTTTATACGTATTTCATAAAAATAGACTTGAATAATTACGATTAAAGCCGTATAAAACATGTACTAAGCAAAAAGGTAATAACTCTACAAAATATGATCATCATTTGCTTAGTACAACTCATTATACGTTTCGTCGTTTAATTATGTTGTATTATTTAAACGGTTACGATAAAATTATATAGAGTTTTCAGTAAGTAAGGAAACGGGTTTCTATTGTTCTCATTGTTTGTAATAACTGACCTGTTTACTTACTTATTGAACACTTTATATATTTATAATTTTAAAAAAATAAAGTTGTAAAATATTTTGTCTACAAAATTTTTTTTTATTTTAAGTTAATAGGTTTTAAGTTTTTTTGTACATGAATAAGGTATATCCACTGGCGTACACAAGGGGGGGGGGTTGGATCCCCCCACAAATTGATAAGCTAAGCGACAATTTTGAACCATAAACAATAAGTAATAACTATAAAAAAGATCATATCATACTATAAATATTTCCACAATAAAGTAATCGAAAACAGGAATTTTGTAAGCGAACAATGTGGGCAGTGTCACATTTAATTTTCTTTAAATTTCAAAAAACCCCCCCCAAATTTAATTTCTGTGTACGCCACTGGGTATATCAAATATATAACCTTAATGCAGTTCAGACTATATACATTATTTCTTGATGAAAAATAATGATGAGTCTAGGTTGGTTTAAAAGCATTCCGTGCAATTGTATCAATGTTTCATTTAAAATCGATAAATACTAAGCATTTTTGACGTGTCTTCTCATAATCTTTTCTTTTTAGGTAAAAAATGATTTATACCAATAAANAATTCTTGATGAAAAATAATGATGAGTCTAGGTTGGTTTAAAAGCATTCCGTGCAATTGTATCAATGTTTCATTTAAAATCGTCACATTTCAAAATCGATAAATACTAAGCATTTTTGACGTGTCTTCTCATAATCTTTTCTTTTTAGGTAAAAAATGATTTATACCAATAAAAAATAATACGTAAATGGGTTTTTGGCTAAAGAAATCATCTTATAACTTTTTCAGATTTGGTCTATAAAATTTAAATGTCATATATAAATTTTGTAAACGTAGACTTAAAGTACAGTATGATAATTACATCGGACTACCATTTTGTTACTGTCACATGTGATAATAACACATAATTTTACGGCAATTTAATCGCTTTGTAATAATTTTTTTAATGAAATATACTTTTTTTTAGCTTCAATGCGAAGCTGAGAAGGTATTAATTTTACTATGATATGTTTTTTTATTTTGTGTGCGTTTGTTACCACTTTTTCTTAGCTCTCACCGAACCGATTTCTTTCAACGATACGTTAAAAGATCACAAAACATATCTAGTCGAAAAATTTCCCTAGTTCCCCGTAAATGGGGGAAATATCCAAATAAAAATTACTAATTTAAAAATCGCTAATTTTCGAAAAATTTTCAAATTTTTTACTTAAAACTACCATAACTTTTTCAAAAATGATCAAATCAATATAATTTTATTTTTATAGATGAATGATGTCTTTAACTATAATTTGATATATTTTTTATAAATCTGATTCTTTACCTGTCCTCAGGAAGGGATTTAAAATTATTACTTTTTAAATTTAACTTTTGAATGTTTTCCGGAAATACTAACACTTTTATATATACCTTAAATTAAAGCTTATGTAATATACATTATTATGGGAAAAAAAATTTCAGACTTAATTTTGTCATCACGGCTACCGTATGCTATTTTTGTTTTACAATTCTCGATTTTATATTTTACATTATTAAATTTATAATTAATAACTTTTTGAAAAATGTATGGGTCATTTCAAACCATTTCCCTATGTATATTTATATATTATAAATACATATATATATATTCATATATAACACTTATAAATCATAAAACTTGTAATCAGGAAATAAATAAGGAAATAGGAGATCATGTAACTTTTGGAATAATCCACCAATATTTTTAAAATTAATCACTATTTGTAGATTTGTATCGAAGCGGTTTTTATGATACTTATTTTAATCACTGTCATATATCATCTATACTGGACCCAACTATGCCACGTCGCCACTGTGCTGGTTTTTTTTTAAATAACTGAGAGGAAATTGTATTTTGATTATTTATTATATATATCGCTTCGAGAAAAGTGAATAAGGCATAAAGAATAGTTACAATATGCCGATTAATACTGTTAGCTAATACAATAGTACAATAGTCTAGTTGTTAACAATTATTGTCAAGTAAAATCTATTATAAGATAATTAAATGTTATAATTGTTAAAGCTAGTTTATGCCAACATTTTATTATTTGAATGTATCTATAAAATAAAAAGTATTTAATAAATTGAAATTTTTCAGTACAAAAATTATTTTAAATAAAATTACTCAATATGTTTATATATCCTGAGTATAAACAAGGGTTGTAGTTTTTCAATTTTATAAACAACTATAAAGACGCGGATTAATATATATATGGGGGTGCATAATCCATTTGTACGTAAATAAATCAATTAATGTCTAAATTATTGAAATGTTTTCCAAAAGGGGTAGACAACAGCTCTTACTGGATCTACAGCTGAGTCTATATAATTCATGATATGTTAAATATTTATTTTACAACGCATTTCATTATAAGGTAATTTATTTAAAGAACTATTAATAATTTATTAATATTTAAAATAATTTTCCAGATAGTGATATTCAAAAACTATTTTATAAGCGTTATGGAACATATAATCCATTACCAAAGCTTCCATCTATTGACTTTACTCCTCCAATTTATAAGGTAAAATTTGTTTATTAGTATATATTTTCATTATCTATGATAACTTGGTGTTGCTGATTTCTAGATGTTATTAACAATATTTTATTCAGGGTCCATCCTATGAAAAAGCACAGTCAATGCAGGCTGAAAATGTATTTCCCCAGAGGCAAATGTACGAAGAACCTTTATTATTACATTCAGGAAAAATGCAGTGGTTGTTTGATTATACCGGTAAACGATATTTGGATATGTTTGGTGGTATTGCAACCATAAGCGTTGGACACTGTCATCCGTTAGTATAAATGGTTTGGAAGGTATGAATTTAGTATATAAAAGCAAAAACGCCAATTTTTATTTACAGACGTGTAACTGATGCAATAATCAAGCAGACACGTATGTTAAATCACGTATCTTGTGTTTATGAACATCCAAAATTGTATGAATATGTGGAAAAATTGGTATCGACCATGCCAAATCACATTAACGTGAATATAAATAATTCGTAGACATAATTTACATTATGAATAGTGATGTTATGAACTTTTATTTTTATGATCAAACCGAACTTTCACTTTTCTAATCGAACCCGAAATGAGCAATATTTTATTAAACTCAAACCAAGCATTAATTTTGATAATTTTCAGGCAAAAAGTGTTTATATTATTTTTCAAAAAGTTCAGAGCAAACGTTTATTAAACTTTTTTGATTTTTGAACCGATTAACAGTTAAACAACACAAGAAAATAGTTTGGTTCGATTTTTTAAAATTATATTTCGATTTTTGAACCTCACTAATACGATTCTGTTTGAAAATCGAACACTTTAAAGATCACTGTTATGAATTTGAATGTGCATTTTAAATCTTGCAGACTGTGTATTTGGTTAATAGTGGTTCTGAAGCAAACCAGTTAGCATTACAATTGGCTCGTTTATATACTGGCAATCAAGATATAATATCAATCCAAAATTGTTACCATGGAGTATCAGGAACTTTGCATGGACTCACTGCACTATCAGCAACTAGATATAACCAACCTGTGGAACATTCGATACATCATACTATGTGTCCAGATGTGTTCAAAGGAATTTGGGGAGGAAAAAATTGCCGAGACTCACCAGCACAGACTCAACGGGCTTGTAAATGCAGTCAAAATCATTGTTTTGCTGCAGATAAATATTACGAGCAGTTGGAAGATCTTTTTACCTACTCGCTTCCTCGAGGAAATATAGCTGGTTTTTTTGCTGAATCTATTCAAGTAAACAATTAAACAAGAACTCTTAATAAACTTTATATAATATATTTTTTGAAGGGCGTTGGTGGAGTAGTTCAATTTCCTAAAGGTTATTTAAGTAAAGTTTACGAGTTGGTAAAGACTAACGGTGGTTTATGTATAGCCGACGAAGTACAGACAGGTTTTGGAAGGACTGGAGAACATTTTTGGAATTTTCAATCACATGGAGTCACACCAGATATAGTTGTTATGGCCAAGGGTATCGCCAATGGATTTCCTATGGCAGCTGTAGCTACTACGTCGGACATAGCTAAGTCATTAAACCCAGGATTTCACTTTAATACATTTGGTGGAAATCCAGTAGCATGCGCTGTAGGGATTTCAGTATTAGAAGTAAATAAGGGCCTTGTTAACTTATTCTAACACAGAGTGATTTTTTTAATATTATCCACACTATTTCTTTTAAAATAGTAATTATTTTAAGAAAATATTTTTTATTCATCTTTTATATTTTATAAGAATGTCAACTTTATTTTTTTAAATGGCCACATACATATTTAAATAGCTTATAAAATAAAAAAATAATCTAATTAAGAAAATTATTGGTTGATGACAGCTAATAACTCATTATTTTAAAAGTTTTTAACTATTTTAAAACATAAAGTGGGGTCGAATGTAGGTTGTTTTATCATTGCGTATTATTCTGTCAAGTTCTTTCTCCATACTATATTTAAAAATGTTTTTTTAATCAGATTATTTTTTATTTTATAAGCCATTAAATATGAATGATGTCATTAAAAAAAAAAATAAAGTCAACACCATTATAACGTAAAAGGAATGAATTAAAAAAATATTTAACAATTAATAAATCAAAAAATATATGTAACAAAAAAATAATAAAAATAATTTTCTTAAAATTATAATTATTAAATGGTACGGTGCCCTACTTTAACGGGTATTCACTCGTGACTTTTTTGGTATAAACCGTTTAGCTATTAGCATGAAAATCGGTAGTCATCGTGCAATTCCCGACCCTTGACACCGTACCATTCCACCTCCAACTATGTATATATACTGGTGCTCGTACTTAAATAATAGAGATATTTAAAGTTTATGAAATTTTGACATTTTAGTATAATTGATATAGATTATTATTTACTACCTTTCAAGATTGTCTTGAACTTAGCATAAATGCTAAAAATAAAGTAAAAAGTGATTCTTATAAGATTTTGAAACTTTGAAATTCTGACAGAGCGATATAATTACTAGTTTATAAATCGAAAAAATACTTTAGGTGATAGAGGATGAAAAACTACAACAAAATAGTTTAGAAGTCGGCACGTACTTTATAGAAAAACTGTGTGGGATGAGACGTGAATGGTCAATCATAGGGGATGTTCGGGGTAAAGGTCTCATGGTAGGAGTGGAACTAGTTGAAGTCAAACAAGATGAGAGCGATAACAAAGTTCACACTATGCCTTTGAACTCTAGAGCTATTACTCACATAAAAAACGATTGTTCTAAAATGGGGCTTTTATTAGGAATTGGCGGAGCTCGATCAAATGTGAGATAATAAATTTCAAGTAAGTTAAAATGTATAAAATATTTAACTTGTAAAATGTTTATAGGTATTGCGATTCATGCCTCCTATGTGTATAACAAAAGACGATGTGGATTTTACTATAGTTGTTCTAAGGCGAGCTATGCAAAATTATTATGAAGCAAAATATCGTAATAATATTTAAGTATTTATGTTTATAAAAGTTTTAAAACTTAAATATTTAATAAAAAAAAAATTGCTAACAAAAAATTGTATAATAAATATAATATATAAAAATTTAATTAAGAAATCAAATTATTATTTAAAGGAACAATTTTAAAAATATCACGTTTCTAGTTTACATTCACCTTCGCGGTCGTAACACCATTCTGGCATTATTGCATCAGGTTTTATTCCGAGTTTTAAAAGCCGTTCATTATGCTGGAGCAATCTAGACATTACAATTGATTGTAGACTATATAATTCTAAATTTTTTAAATACTATTATTAATACCTGTATTCAGCAGTTTGTGCTCTTGTTTTTGGGTTAGACCATAATCTTTCTGCAAGTGCAGCAGTTCTTGGCCAAATTTTAAAGTCAACACTATTTTCATCTACATATTCTGACCACATGCACGTCTAAAGGTAACATATACATATTTGTATTAATATAATTTATAGTTCTAAAAAAATATTATAAAAACTTTTATGGTGTACCTCTGCTCCTAAAATTAAATGTGTATTGTTAACAATAGGCAATTTAGTTTCATAAATTAACTTCCATGAATGGTAATTAGTTGGAGGCCAAAAACCATGATCTAAGTAGTAGAATTCTTTGGTAGCTACTATGACTTTATAGCCTAATTCGGTTAACTGTGCTGCAGCTGTACTGCTTTCCCATTCTTCTATGATAAATCGATTATTATCCAAATGTTTTTGAATTATACTTGGTTCAGTTAAACCGCTAGACCAAACTATAATATTGGAATTGGAATCTCCAGCTTTTTTATCAAATGCTTTAAGTGCTTGGATATGGAAATCAGACCATAATTCATAGAATGAATTTTCACTTAGATCTTTATTTTTAGATTTCATCCAATTGACTATTTGATCAGTAGTATTCCAACAATTTATAGCAACCTATGAATAATTTGTACGATAATAAATGACAATTACATATAAGAAATATATTACTTCATCGCCTCCCATATGAAAAGCCTCTCCTTGAGGCAGTAAGCTAATAATGTCTTTGTAAAGATTACCTAACCAAAAGTAAGTGTTATTGTTAATAGGGTTAAGTTGACCACAAGGTGGTTGAACACAGTATTTTCTCCACGGATTTTTATCAACGCAAACAGCAAGATCGCCAAATCCTTCAGATTTGCCCCATTGCCAACCATTTCCAGCATGAGCAGGAGAATCAATTTCAATTATAATTCTTACTCCTCTAACAAGAGCATATCTCATTAGATCTTTAATTTCGTCATATGAATATTTTTGTTCTGGACTGTATGATCCATATCTAATAAAATTAGTAGAGTAAATCTCCAATAAAAATAGTATAATTAGCTAAAAATATTGACTAACTTGAACATTAATGGTACACTAGGTAAATCTAATGGGAAACTGTGCGAGTCAGTTACGTGCCAATGAAATACGTTAAGTTTGGAATGGCCCATAGCATCGATAGTTTTCTTAATTTTAGACATCGAAAAAAAATGTCTAGACGTATCTAACATGAAACCTCGATGAGAATACACGGGTCGATCGCTAATGTTAACTTCAGTGGCTATAACTAAATTGTAACCTAATTCTTTAGAACCATATGAAGTAATCAATTGGCGCAAAGTTTCCATTCCATGTCGTACTCCATACACTGTTTGTGCAGTAATTTTTACATTAATTTGATCTCCTATAAATTATTGATTAGTTTTAAATTAATTTTGAAAAGGAAAAATTTTACTTAATACCTTCTGTAACGATACTTAAATCGTATTTTTCATTGGTGGTCCATTTAAGGTATTCGAAGGAGCTAGTATTACTAACAAATATAGTAACTGAGTTAGCATAAGGATTACATCGAGGTTTGCATAAATTTCCTAATGAATCTAGGAACACTTGGTAAGCTTCATTTATATATTGTTTTCCAAGTTCATCTTCAACGGAAGACAAATTTAGTTTAATATTCTCGTATCCAAATTGTATTATCGACTGTCTAATTAAAATGGTTACAAAAATGGTTGATTTATAACTTTACCTTTTTGTTTATAAAACATAATAAACTTACTTTATTTCAGTTTTAATAGTAGGTCGTGGCCATAAAGCTCCATAAAGTCCACATGTCAATCGACATACATCTATTGAGCCACTGGCTTGATTATTATACATTTCACTTACTGGAAATTTTGAAAGTATGCAAGTGTTGTTTACACAATCATAAAATTTTCTGAAAACAAAACAAAAATATTTAATAAACATACTTCTAAGTATTATAATTAGGGCCCAGATACATATGCACTTATAAATTTTGTTTGAGCCACTTTCAAGGGACCTAAGTTTGCGCATTATATCGTAGGATTATATAGTAGAGAAGAAATATTTTTCATTTTAAGACGACATAAATCCCTAATCTCTTCCAAAATTATAACCTCGGAAACAACATAGAACTAAATTTTCAATTCAATTAATTAAAATTATTACTAGCTGATTGTGTGTTCAGAATAACTTCACAAAATTTATAAATGCATATAACTCCTAGTCCTAATCATCAGAAATGAGAAGGAAAGTAAAAATGCTCGTCTTAAATGTTATATGATTCATTATTTCTAAACGGTTACAATTTTACAAATAAAAGTTTGGATTAATCATCTGAGTTATTATACACGTTTATGAGCACATGTCACTAGCGAATTTTTGTGAAGCTGAGAAAGTAATGGTTTTACTATGATGTGTTTTTTTTTTGTCTGTTACCACTTTTTCTCAGCTCTCACCGAACCGATTTCTTTCAACGATACGTCAAAAGATCACAAATCGTATCTAGTCGAAGACATTACCCTCTAAAATTAAAAAATTTTCCTCGTTTCCCGTAAATGGAGGAAACCTCCAAAAAAATTACAAATTTTAAAATCGCTAATTTTTTCAATGTTTTTTACTTAAAACTGCTATAACATTTGTTCATTCAAAAATGAACAAATCAATATAATTTTTTTTATAGATGCATGATGTCTATACCTTTAATTTGGTATACTTTTTTTACATATTTGACCATTTACCTGTCCACAGGGGGGACCAAAATGTCAATTTTTTCACAAAAAATTAACTTTTTCAACTTAACTTTTGAAATTGTTCCGGAAAGTCTGACTCTTTTATATATATATATTAAATTAAAGTTAATGTAATGTACTTTATTATAGAAAAAAAAAAAAAAAATTTCGGACTTTATTTTGTCTTTACGGTGAAAATAACTACCAAATTTTATTTTTGTGTGAAAATTCTCGATTTTATTTTTTACAATTTTAACTTTATAATGCTATAACTTATTGAAAGGTGTATGGATCAACACAATTTTTTTATGAGAAATAATATATATATATCCCTTTTTCATTCGACATACTCTATCTTAATCAGGATATTAGTAAGGAAATAGCAGATCATGTAGCTTTTGGAATAATCCACCAATTTTTTAAAATTAAACACTATCTAAAGATTTGCATCGAAGCGTGTTTTTTATGATAGTGATTTTAATCACTGTCAGATATCATTATACTGGATCCAACTATGCCACGTCACTACTGTGCCGCGACCTCCCTTGTGCTGGGTTTTTTATCATTGTTTTATAGTTTATCCAGTTTGAGGTTAATTAACTGACATTTGCTTACGTATTTAAAAAGTAGTTATACTTTTTAAATAGAAAACTAAGTACAAAAAGTAATAATAATAAATACTGTTAGGTATTCATATAAATTTATATATATACACAGGGTGATTCATTTATCACGAACCACTTAATTAATTGAAAAATAAAAATATTAATAATTTTTTATTTGTTTCTTTTAGTTCAATGTTTTTCTCAATTTTTCAATCATAATGTTTTTTTATGTTCATGTCTTATAAAGGTGTAAATTTCTTGTAATTTCTGAAATGGCAACACAACTATCCGTAATTAACTAGTTTATATAATAGATAATTAATGTAATTTATAACTTAAAGTATAAGTAATTTACAATTTAAAGTAATGACTGGAGGTGAAGTGTAGTTGACGTTTTTTTTTATTACTAAATATTTTTCAACCGTTCACTTCCTCTTATCTAGATTTAAATATGTAAATATCTCCCGAAATACTAGTCCAAAAGTTGTTATCGACTTGTCATTATCTTAATTTGATAATTTTCTATTAAATAAGCTAGTTAATTAAGGGTATAACCATTTGAGAAATTAAATTGACACCCTAATAAGGTATAAGAGATGAATATAAAAATTATTTATGTTTGAAAAATCGAGGGAAAATTGAACAAAAAGAAACAAATAACAAATTTATTAATATTATTTTTATTTTTTGATTAATTAAGTGGTTCATGATAAATGAATCATTCTGTATATTAGAATAACAGAATTTGTCATTTATCTACAAAATAAATGTTCGGCTCTAATGAGTTTTGTTGTATTCTTGTCTGAACGTCGCGTTGTATACAATGAAGAAAGACTCTATATTATACTACATTTTGGTAATTTATTCTACAGAGACGTATCATTTAACTTTTGCGTTCATTTGAATTTTTAAATATAAAAATAATTTATGGGGAATTTTTAGTTAAATAATTTGAGCTATATATGTATAAAAGATTTTTTACAGAATAATTTCTGATGGCTGACATTAGTTATAGAAAGTAATTTTTCATTCATTTTTAGGTTATTAAACATTATTTTTTGCCGAACACATATATAATATTTACACTATTATTATATAGAATATTCTTTTAATGTTTTTGATTATCAATAAAACAAAATAATATTTTAATCCTAAAATAATACGCTATCAATATTTTATCATTGAACTAGAGTCTATTTCGCTGATATCGAAGTGACATATGTACTTCAACTGGGTATTCTATTATCTAAATATGTTTATTATTTTATACCAAATAATATTTATTATTATTACGAACTGAACAATATCAAACAATTAATTTCAAAAGTTACACCAATCAAAGAGTGCATTAGTATTAACTGTTTTATATTATTTTATAGATTTAAATTACGATGTCCTTATAATATTTCAATGCATTATGTATCATATTTTCTAAAAACCATTTTAATCTATACTTCTAAATGCAGATAACTTTTAAATAGCACTAGGGCTTGTTAACAAAAAAATATTACAAAATCATTAGTTTTTTAAGAAAATTATAATAAAAGCATAGTAACTAGCTACTGTATAATTTATTATATGAAAATGTTTCGTTTACCTTGAGAAATTAAAAAAATAATAATATGAAAACTAAATATTTTAATAATTTATTAATTAAAAATAAATATAGAAAATAACAGTCAATTCTAATTTTAGATTTTAATTTAGCATAAAAAAATTCATTAAAAATTCAATGTTAATCATTTTATTATGAACAAATTGTAATGTTCAGTTATTTTATAATTTGCAATAAAAAATAACTCCTTCTGTGATAATAAATATAGAAGAAACATACTTTTTTAATATAATTTTTAAATTTTACTCACCCAATATAAGGTTTGTTTGCAGAAAAACTTGCTGCAGCATTGTCAAGTGATCGCATCAAATGCACCCAAATTATGAGAAAAAGCAGAGCACACCCAGCCATCGCCATATACTTTCGTCTCTTTAAAAATATATTTCTATACATAATTAGATTTAATAACAGTCCTAATTAATTATTATTTGTTTTCATTTTAAAAAATCTAATCTGATTAATTTACATTTACTGAAAAGTGCAAAAAAAAACTATAGGTTGATATTTACAGCTGTAAATAATAGGGGAACCTGCTAATAACTTTGTATACATTATTATTGTAGTAGAACTTATTACATTATCCATGCAGTAATACCACAAAAATGATAAGAAAAACATGCGTGCATATTAGGACATGACTACAACTACACTACCTATCTAACATTAAGTGTTGCTTTAATAGTGTTATGTGAACACTGCATAATGGACAGTCTTGGCTGTATAATATACAGAGTGATTCACTTACCATAAACCACTTAATAAATTGAAAAATAAAAAAAATGTTTAAAACTAATAATTTTTTTATTAGATTTATTTAGTTTAATGTTTCTCTCAATTTAACAATCATATTGTAAATTTTAAGTTGATCCCTTACACTTTATAAGAATGTCGATTTAAATACAACATACAAAATTGTCTAGCTTATTTATTATATAATGGTCTAATCAAGAAGAAAATGACTGGTCGAAAACAACTTTTTGACCAATATTTCAGAAATTTTTAACAGTTTAAAGTGAGATGACTGGAGGTTAAGAATGGGTGCTGTTATTTTCAATAACTTTCAAAATACTGATTCAAAAGTTGTTATGGACAAGTCATTTTCTTAATTAGATCATTATCTAATAAATGAGTTAGTTAATTAAGGATATTACCATTTGATAAATTAAATTTGACACAATTATAGCTTAAGGGATGAATATAAAAAATACTTTATGATTTATAAATTAAGAGAAAAATTAAAATAAAAGAAACCATTAAAAAAAATATTAATGTTATTTTTATTTTTCAATTAGTTAAGTGTTTCATAAGTGAATGTACAATGAATGCATAATGTATTCATTCTGTATAAATGTTGTCTGAATATATACATAATCTTAGTAACATTTATTACTTTTCTCTGTCTTTCTTATATAAATTCTTTGTTACTGTCTTTATGGTTTTAACACTATGCTTGCTTACTGTGTAGTTTAATAATTGTTGTTATTTTATAAATCAGGTTTAACTTTTATTTGGATAGTTGTTTAAGGGAATGTTGTTTTACAAAAAAAGTTATTATTTAGAATATTTTAATTAATTATTCTTTAATAATACAATTTAGATAATAATTAACTTCAAATTATTATTTTTTACTTTAAAACTTAATGTTACAATACCAGTAATGTAATTTAGTCAATTAAATTAACTGTCTAAATATTACTTGAATTCTTCTAATTTATGTTAAATGGCATATTAAATCTTAAAAATTAATGTTTTACTTATTATAACTAAAATATTAAATCTTAATTTTTACCAATTGGTTCAATTGTAAGAACTGATTAGATATTTTCAGTATTATAAATGTTGATTATTAATATTACATATTGTATCATAACATGTATTACAAAATTAGACTTGTTTTTTTTATTCAACGCATTAAAAGTATAATACAAAATTTCCCAATTGTGATTATTTCACTATAAACTGTTTGTGGATTTATTCTCTCTTAAATGAGACTTATCTAAATCACAATTCTGCTACTTAAAATTAATATTCTAAAGTATGATTATGTAATCATTTTGATGTAAATTAATCTAATACTGTCTTAAGAAAAACTAATTATTTAAAGAGAGCAAGACGAAACTACATAGTGTAATACTAATAGGAGAAAAAATGTTTTTCAAAAGTATAATAATAGAAAAATATTTAATCTCCTAT